GCAAAAGTTCTGGGTCTGTACCTAACATCCAAAGTACCCTCCCATATCTCACTCACTAAAGTTGAGAGAAAAATTAAGGGAGAGAAAACAAGACTGAGAAGCTGAGGCACAGAGCAGCTAGGCTGTTTGTTCCAGATCTCAAAGTGCTTTCAGGCAGGGTCAGGTTGGGTGTGGCCCCCGTCCCCTCCGGTGACCTTGCTGCATTCCGGTTTTTCTTTAGAGATATGGCCCGAGAGATTCAGGTTCTTTGAGGTAAACAATGAGCCGGGCAAGACCAACACTAAATAATCAAACCCTCTAAGAAACATTCTTCAGTGTTGCTGGTAGAACTCTTCTGGCATAAGCAAGCAGCTGGTGTCAAGGATGAAGAAATCCTATTTGAAAGCTGTCTGGACTATCTTCACTTTTAATCTATTGATGAGCCATCAGCAAATCTCATGCAGCATAGATAATCTCATCATTTTCAAATCAAGAGATTGAATGCGCACAAACCACCTGCGGGTGGGGAGGGGTAAAAAGATCACAGTCCTCATCTGGTACAGTGTTTAAAATTCAGTTAGGGTTTTTTGTATCTAAAAAATTTACAAACATTATTAAATCTTTAATTAACTAAGACAACAGAAGAGAGGTCATGGGGAGGCATGTGATTAATAGCTTTTAAAAATGTTCACGGAAGACGTGATGTCATGGTGGTGCTGTAGTGGAAATAAACAAATGTTTATTTTAACCACATCCCAGCTGGTCAGAAGTGGAGTCAGGCACAGCAGAATGAGGTGGGGCTGGGAGGGGTGGGGAATACAAAACATCTGAGAAAGGCTGTGGGCACACCACCAGATCAGTGAAGGGCAACCTGTGTGGTTATGGAGGGTGGTTACTAGAAGGGCAGAGGTCAGGCTGGACTTGAGACTGGGGAGTGTGGGAGCTACCTAAACCCTAACTGGAGCATCACTGGATGAGAGTGGTGGGATAACCCTCACTCAACACCCACAATTCACAAGTCACCCTCATGTGCTTCTTGTACAAAAAAATGGATTCTTCTTTCCAGGGACGTGAGCTCCTTACAAGACCTATTACTCAGACCAAAGATAAGGGATAGCAGTCTGTTACCTGTACCTCCTCCAGGATGTGCTCCTCTGACACCTCAAAACTGGCTCTCACACCCCAGCAATATGCTCCTAACAGCAGCCTGTTCTCCTCTCTGCCCTCAGCATGACTTGTATAGACCTTTTTTGTAATTGCATGCACAAATGTCTGCATTTGCCATGGACCTTAAGTTCCATGAGGGCAGGGAAGCACTCACAAATCTGACTACATAAAAGTAGAGAGGATGAAGGAAGGGAGAGGGGAGTGAATGAACCAATGTATTGAACAGCCAAAAGGGCAACTGCCAACAGAGTGACATCGTCCAACTGTGTTCTATGTGGAGCGGGCCTCCTGCAGCACCTCTGCGGGGACAACATATGGAAGGCTGTTGGTCGGAAGGAGAAGCTGGCCTGATGGCACTGGCCTGGGAAAGCAGGCAGAATGTTCATTGTGTCCATCCCATCTCCAAGCTTCAGCTGGAGGAACTTAAGAGATGGAGAAATCAGAAGATAATGGAGTGCAGCAGACACATTCCTGCCCTTCCCTCCTCACCACACACACTGAGAGGCACCAAGTGAAGCCTAGATCCCCACTTAGGGGAAGATTTGTACCCCGTAAGCCCACTCTCCTTTCTCAGATACCTATTCAAACCCATCCCCTTTGGAAGCTCCAGTGACGGACATCAGCACAAGAGTATGACCTGCTGGCACAGAAAGTCATCTGAGCACCAGCAGGATTGTACAGCTTCCCTAATGCCAGGAAATCTCTCACCCTGGATCAAACAGCATCCTCCCTATAATCCCACCCATGCCAAAGAACAGTATCTATCTGCTACTGGAATAGAGGTCTCTCATGGGTTGGAGGTATTCCTTTCAGAGTGGCTCCATAAAGGCTTCCCATTGAACCAGTTCCCTGGTACCTCTGAAGGCCTGGTGTCCACCCAGGGATTATCTGGCCCATGGTACCCTCCTCATCACCTAGCTCCAGGTTTTGGAATCTAGTTACCTTAGCTCACTGGCTTCGACTGCTGCTGTCTCTATGCCAGGCACAGGAAACAAGAGAAGGCCACCCTTCTCCAGACCATTTCCCTTGCCCCTCTCTGTTAACATTCAATTCATCCAGCCAAGTCCATACTGCTCTCAAAAGTTCTACTGAGCTCAGTCGTATTAAAAGTGAGAGACTCTGAGGTCAGACAGGAAGTGAGAATCAGGGGGAGGGTGATGGCCAACGTGCAGAAGGTTCCCTCCACCTCAGGCCACAGAGGATGCTGGCACAAAGGACCGACACATGCAAAGTTGTGTGTGAGCAAGGTAGTTTGGGAGTGCAAAAGGAAGCAGCAGCTGTAGTGGCTCTACAATGGGTATATCCCCTACCTAGTCCAGAGACCCAAAAAGCTCAGTTAAAACCTACGGTAAACAACCCACTAATGACAGAGTTCTGGTGTGATGCTAAAGGATAAGCAATGGACTGCTAACTTCAAGTCAGCAGTTCAAACCCACCAGCTGCTCCTCAGAAATCTTATACAGGGTTGGTATGAGTTGGAATCAACTCAACAGCACTTAACAATGACACAAACAGTGGGAGGAAGTTTTTTAGGGCCTGGGACTCCCTGCCTGCTAGAAGGGACTGGAATAGCCAGCAGCGGTACCTTGAATGCCTAGGGACTGTGTTCCAAGGCCCCACAACCCTGGCCTGAACGAATTAGCCCAGCATATCCACCAGGTCACCCAACCCAATTGCAGGCTGACCAGACAGCAATCTTCTTTCAGGAAGACTGCCACTTCTTGGCTTCCTCAATTCAAGGTCATCTTAATGCTCAATGACATGTCAGTGAAAAATAGTGGTCTGGGATAGAAGATAGAGGCCTAGCCCCAGAATCATTAATAACCCAAAATGGGACTCTGGGCCATCACCGCCCTCTTCCTGGGGTTCAGGTTTCCCACCTGAACATATGGTGCAGGTGGTGGGCTCCAGTGCTTAGGTCTCAGCCTTTCATCTTTGTGATTTTCTGGGCGTTTACAGTGCCCAGTAGGGGCCTCAGACCACCAGGAATTCTGAGGGAGTAGAGTTTTTTACTCAAACTCACCAGAAACATTTTCCTCATCAAACTTTTGCTTCTTTGCTGAAGCTTTTCCAGACGTGGGATAAACAAGTGTTTCTGGAGAACCTAGCAGGTCCCAGGTGCTTTGAAAGGCACTAGGGAAACATGAAGAAGTAAGAGAATTGCCCTCACACAATCATTTTACAGAGACAGAAACTGAGGCACAAAGAGGTCTCAGAATTTGTTCAAGGTGACACTGCTAGGAATTCAACCCCCAGGTTGCCTGAAGTGGGCAGAGTTCTCGGGCCTGGTGGTAAAGAAGGCCACTGAAATCCCTTCCAGGCACAGAGAAAAGCCAGATCTAAGAAACTGGGATCTATTAAGACCATAAACTAGAGTACAGGCACAGAACTGGCTGGCTGAGTTATCCTTGTTCTGAAATACCTGGCTCCTGGTGACCACCTCTGACACCTCTCAAAGGCCCAAGCATTGAGCAAAAAGGAGATGGATGGACAGCAAGCTCCACAACATACACATACACAAACGGGAGTAGCACTGTTCCCCGAGCCCACCAGGTCCTTTCTAAGGTTGTCCTTCTCTTGGTTCCCTTTACAGACAAGTATCAAACAAGGTTAACAGGACTGGAGTGTAGAGCTGGAGCTGGAGTTCTGCCCTCCCCCGACTGCCTCCTCCCAGAACTGGGCTGGTCACTTCCCAGCTTGTCTTCCAGCAGCTCCAGTAACAGGCTTCTGAAGGGATGCTCTGGGAGCCACTCCTTCCTACAGGTGTCAGCCAGGTCCATCCTCTTCAAGCTGGTCTTCCACTTCTGGACCAATCTGGGTTTCGAAGAAGCTTATCGCTGGGAGGCTGCTGGGCAGCAGGTAAACTGTGTGCTCCTGGTCCCTCCCCCCATTCCCTTGGCTCTGGAAGGCTGCCATGCTGACCTCCCCTCCCCCAAGAAGGGCTGTGAACTGGGAAGTGGGGGTGGGAAGAATCCACAGACGATCTCCGGAGGAGTGCTGGGAAGCCTAGCAGGGCGTGTCCTGAGCCTTTCTCTGCCCAGTACCAGGCTTCACAGCCTCTCCGTGTGAGGCGCCCTGTATCATTCCCCCAAATCTGCCTCGCATAGAGATCCATTGCTCTTATCACCCAAACCCCTGTGACCAAATGAGGCTAGTATAAACTGGTGAAAAACAGCGGGTCTAGAACCTTCTGTGTCCAGTCGGGCGTAAGCCTGGGAAGGTAGGCGCCCCCTTCCCATACGGCCTGAGTCCGCTTTTTCCAGAAGAGGCAGGTGTCCGCCTTTCCATCTCGAAATCCCTAGCCAGCCGTCGGCCTCAGGGCTGGACGTGCCCTAAAACAGGGTTCCACGCAGAGTCCGCAGGGAACCCCTCCTGCGCAGCCAGGTGGGGGGCAGCCAGAACTGGGGCCCGCCTCGTTCTCCGAAGAGGGGCTCCCGCCTCCCTGCGTCCCCGCCCCGCCACCTGCGCTGTCGCCTGCAGCCGGTGCCGCAGTGCGAGCGAGCCAGCGAGCCCGGCGCTTTCACGCCTTGGCGAGCGCCGCCGAGCGAGCCGCCGCCCTCCGATCTCCCGGCCTCACCGCACCTGCACTCACTCCGACACGCACCCCCAGCCCCGCACCCAGATCCCACCCTTCATCCCCACCTCCACAGGCCCAGTGCCTCCGCGATCCTTACAACAAGCCCCTCTCCAGCCCGACCCCGCCCGAGCCGGCCCGACCTCCTCATCCTCATCCCTCTCCTCTGCTAGGGCAGGGAGGGGCCTTTCCTTGCCTGGTTCGGGGGTCCCCATCGGGTAGATAATTTGGCAGCAAGGTCGAGTCGGCGCCAAGCCAAGAGAATAAGCCAGGTACTTACCGCTCTGTTCTCCCAGGAACACCAACTTGAATTTTCTCAGTGGGTTCCCAAAATCTCCCCCTGCGGACATGGTGCTGGCTGCCGGGCTGAGAGAGGAGGAGGAAGAAGCGAAGAAGAGAAGGGCGAGGGGAGGCGGCCGGCGGTGCGGGTGCCTGAAGGGGGAAGGGCTGGCTGCGCGCGTCCCTGATTCCCCAGCTGCGTCCCGGCCCCGGCCTGCGGCTGCGTGTCCAGCAGTAGCGGCGGCGGCGGCGGCAGCGAAAAAGGAGGAGGAGGGAAACAGGGGCTGGGCTGCCGAGGGCGGCGCTCGCTGCGGTGCGAGGGGCGCGCACTGGACGCCCGAGGCGCGGCGCGGGCAGCGTGGTGCGGGCGGAGCGGGGCGCAGGGACGGCGCGCGGGGCGGACGAGAGCTCTCCCGAGCCGCGCGAGTCCGCCCTCCCCCTCCTCCCTTTACCGGCGCCTGCGCTCTGCGCGCTCCCCAGCCTCTGATGTCATGCGGGGCCCCTGGCGCTGCGCGGCTGGGGAGCGACCACCCGCCCACCCAGAGACGGCAACCGTGCGGGAGAGAACTGCCTAGATACGGCTGCTGAAGACTCCCGCATCGGACTATCTCTCGCTGTGTCTACGTTCTGTCTTCTTCATTCTATTCCTGTTTTGAACCCAGAAAAGAAAAGAAAAAAAAAATGACATAAATTTGTCAGGGGACATTTGTTTGTTTCTTTTTTTTTTTTTAACCGCGATGTCATTCCCTATCTCCACCTCCTGAGACACTGATGCACAGCGCAGCCCTCCGAAAGGGTGGAAAGGAAAGGAGGTGGAAGGAGACAGGACGTCTTAGGGTGTCTGGAGTGGAGAAGACGTCTGAAAAACCTGGTGCAGACCGCCTCGACTCTCTTTCATCATCGGTGTCACACTGATCTGGCCAGCGAGAAGCGCCAGTCCAGGGCGCACCTACCTCAAGCCAATCGCTCATAGAGATAATTTTATCCGATATCCTAACTCTTTCGCCACTGGAGAAAAAGAAACAAGGACACCCCCAATAACAGTGCGGCCATCTCCAGGGCAGGGCAGTGCTCTGGGTTATTTGAGCCTGGAACTACCAGGCTGACGATGCCGCTCCTGCCTTGGCAATTATGTGTCTCAGGGAATAGAACTAGTGGAGGACACAACGGTGACCTCCAGTTCTATACTTGATTTCCTTGGCCCATTGCAGTCACACGGAATGGGTGTGAACGGATGATTAGGTTTTAGATGCCAAGGGTTGGAAGAGCTCCTAAAACAGTGCGATCGCAAAACATACTGGTTAATCAAGGTTTTACAAAACTGTCTTACTGTCTTGTTACTTTGCAAACTCATTTATTTATAACTGTTCAGTGAATATTTATTTGGGGTTGTAATTTAGATGGCTGAGAACAAATTTTGTGTTGGAGGTGGAGAAAGAGCCAGAGGGATTGAGTTTGAAATCAGAAGCAACCTTTCTCCTTTGGAGATTTACAGGGTTTGTTTGGAATTACTATCTCCCTATTTTGTTCCTCTAGAGTCTCTCTTTTATTGCTTATTAAAAAGCTAAGTGGCAAGTTCCCCAAAAATAGTAACTGAGGCTCCAGTACTAACTAGATCCCAAGGAAATAGTTTAGAATTTGCACACAGTTGTTGTGTGCTTTCAAGTCTGTTCCGACCCCTAGCAACCCTGTTTAGGGTTTCTGAGGAGCAGCTTGATGAGCTGGAACTCCTGACCTTGTGGTTCAAACCAACATTGCAGTCCAGCACATTAACCTGCAGTGCCACACCAGGATGCTTTGCACACAGTAAGAGTTTAAATAGTTGTTGAATGTCTGAACAAATATCTAGAACACAAATCAGAACAACTGTTGTATTTTTCAGAGTCACCTTTGCTTTGGAGCCCCAAGAGTTGTAGGTCATCACCTTACATATATGCTCAATTATATCTGGCATCAGACTCATGATAATCCACCAAACTCCCACCCATCTCCACTCCAAAGTGCAATGGGCTGCCAAAAGAACCAATCGATCTGTTTGGGAGGAAGTGCAGCCAGAGTGCTCCCTGGAGGCCAGGATGGCCAAACTTCCTCTCTCATACTTCGGACATATTATCAAGAGGAACCAGTTGCTGGAGAAGGATATCATGTTTGGTAAGGTGGAGGGTCAGAGAAAATGAGGAAGACCCCCCAGTGAGATGGATTGGCCAAGTGGCAGCATCGATGGACTCAAGTGTGGCAACAATAGGCTAGCCCAGGATCAGGCAGTGTTTTGTTCTGCTGTGCATAAGGTCCCTATGAGTCTTTACCAACTCAATGGCACCTAAGAATGGATTGAAGGAAGTGCTAGAAGATGTCCCAAGTCACTGTCCTTCCTGTCACTGTGAATGGCCCCTCCACAAATGGGCCAGAGAAGTTACTGGTTAAACCAGTCAATCAGGCTTCACTCCTTCAACAAATTCCTATCCTTAACATCAGGCTGTCTTCCTATACCCTTTCATCTTGTCTTGAGAAACTTTTATATGGTAAGATGAGGCAGATGAACAAAATGGAACAACAGAACAAAATGCTACCCTATCTTTATGATCCTTTGAGAACTGGACTTTTGTGATCCATTGGATTTTTCTTTCCTTTTTAACACTTGCTATTTAGAATTGAGTGAAGGTTTATCTCATCAATGTTAAATTTACAAATACACACACACACACACATATATATTACATTTAACAAATATACTTTGTTTCATCTCAATAATAGTTGTCGCCTCAAAATGGGATAACACCACTTATCCCACTCCCTCCTGGTTTCCATTCCTCCTCCTTTTACAACCCTTCTGAAATTTGGTCAACACTGCCCTTTTGATTAAAAAAAAAAAATTATTTAGGGTTTTTATTGTGGATTGAATGTAAGTTTACAGGGCATGTCATCAGTTTTACATTCAACAAATCATATATCTTGTTTCATTACAATGATTATACTCCCCTCCATATACCATCAATTAACA